CTCAATGTAGCAGATACAATCAAAGATAAACCAAGAATTCCAAATGAAATCAAGAGTTTAGTAAAATTTAAAAATGTTAGTAAAATTTTAGTAAAAGTCACATTTTAAGAATCAGATTTAATTTAGAAACTCATTTATGATATAATTGACTTAAAAAACCAGCATGTTTTGTTTGTTTTAAATCATTTTATACATTTGTTGCTATCATCATTCTCAGAATGTTTTCTTTATACCTGAGCCCCATTGGTATCAGCTCCTCATTTTTTTCTGACAACCATCTTTTTTACTATCTTCTAAGCACCACGTTCCTTGAGAGTGGGCTAAAGGAAGCGCCACTGGTCGTAGGCCAGCTGGGTTCAAGACTGTCAGGTCCGACCGAGCACTATAGAAACCTGGGTTTGTGGGGACCTGTCTGGGTGTTGGTTTGTTTTTAAGCGCGGTGGGAAGCCGCTCAGAAAAAGACAGTAAAGGTAAACGCTGTGAGCAGGATTCGAACCTGCAGGAAACCCTACTGGATTTCGAGTCCAACGCCTAACCACAGCCCCCAGAGTTTCTGACTGAGGACAAGTATAGGTTGTTTGCCAAGCAGCGCGGAAGAAATAGAGGGAAATCCTTTCGCTGGAAAAGATTTCACCCACAAGTCGACAACCAAGTTCATGCATTACAACAAAACTCACACCACCAAATCAACGAGTCAAACGTTCACATGTATAATGTGTGTTGTCCGCCTGCATTGCTTTTTCCTAGAAGAACTCCAAGTCTAGCGACAAGTTCTGTTTCCAGATAGAGAAGTTAGCATGTGCACTAAACGGAATGACCACTGCACCGTGGGAAAATCATAGGTAGTCTCTGGACAAGTATGTCTTGAAATGCGCTCCTTTATCTTCAAGTCCTTGGCAGAATCCAGCTTTAATCCTGCGTCACTTCCTTTAGGACCTCTTAGAGAATGGGCTCCTAGAAGAAAGGGGGATGGTTTTTGCTACCAAATTGAGCACTTTCTGCAAAAGAACTATTCCCTGATGGTCACCTTCAAGTGCTTCCATGTGTATAATTTGCTTTAGACAACCTTGTCTCAATAGTAGTTGTCATTGTTCATACTCACACCCTCCCTTAAATGAACTGATTCAATGTCCTTTTTGTCCTGAAATACGTTTTTGCCATTTCAGCCAAGAGGAGGGCGGTGTCGATAGCAAACATAATGTTTGTGAGCGCCATCTCTGGTAAACCCTGCACTTCCTTAGCCTTCTGATACCTGGCTTTACAAGCCACTTGCAGATTATCCGCCAACTTTCATTTCTTCGTGTATCTATATGGCGTTCCTTCGATCCCCATTATTTCTTCTTAGAAACCTGAAGTAGTGAGGAAGAGTCTGCCTCCTATTCAAATGGATACAAATATTAGCTCCAGTTCTTTCGACTTTAGTAAGTTTTTAAAAGCCTCACTCCTCCGCTTCTACATCTGTAAAACAAATGTAAAACAAACCAACAATTTAAAACACAATAGCACCTACAGCGTTAGCTTTGCCTTTGGTTACATAAAGGGGCTCCCAAAAGTTTGTGGAAAATTTTTTTTTATGTTTCGACTGGCTGCTCTCTCTGCAAAGCCATCTTTGCACGGGGCCACCAGCGCCCACCACGTCAGATGCGGCGGGGACGCAGCTCCGAGAGCGCCACCTTGCAGGAGAAGGAGGTGGTGGAGGAGGCGGAGAACGGAAGCGACCCCCCCACCCCCACCCCGGGGAACGCTAACGAGGAAAATGGGGATCAGGAGGCTGACAACGAGGGAGACGAAGGAGAGGAAGAGGAGGAGGAAGGAGATGGTGAAGAAGAAGAGGATGCAGATGTGGATACCGAGAAGCAGAAGACAGATGAGGATGACTAGACAGCAAAAGGACAAGTTCAATTCAAAACAACCATACAAAACCACAAAGGTCACCGTGACCTATTCACCCTCCACTTCGCGTCTCTGCATGGAAACCCGGTCACCTTGGAGTAAAGAGTCCCGCCGCCCACCTCCGGCTGCGCCACCGCAGACACGCGCTCACCACCACCCACCACAACCACACCGTGAATTTGCAACAGGGGAGGCAAAAAGAGCCCAAACTGCCCAGGCCCGGCGTTTTTTCGTAAAAGTACTTTTAAAAGGAACATTTGTTTGTGCTTTTTATTTATATTTTTGTACCTGTTGTTAGGGGTCAGCCATTGTTAATAATCTCGGATGACCAAACCGGCCTTTGGAGCATTCTCTGTCCTACTTCTGACTCTACTTGTGGTGTGACCATGTTCATTATAATCTCAAAGGAGAAAAAGAAAACCTTGTAAAAAAAAGCAAAAATAACAACAAAAAATGCAATCTTATTCCAAGCATTCCATACCTGTTTTTGTGTATGTACTTAGCTGTCCTATAAGTAGTTGGTCTGTATGAGATGGTTAAAAAGGCCAAAGATAAAGGTTTCTTCTTCCATTTTCCTTTTTTTTTTGTCTATGAAGTTGCTATATTTTTACGCAAGTGTGAAACAATGTTGTCCAACAATAAACTGGAATTTTATTTTGCTGAGTTCTAAAAGAAGAAACAAAAAATGTTTTTTCTCTTTCAATTCCATTTTCCACGGAAAATATGAAACATGACTAAGTATTTGATTTAGTGGTAATAAATTACTGTTTGTCTACATCCTAGCTATTTCTTTGCGATTATTAGTTTCAACAACATGACATGGCTATCACTTTGGGAATTTGAACACAAACTCTTGAGCAATGCACGATGAAGGAATGAGCACGCCGCTTTGCGCCATAACTCACATACTTACAATCCCACAGGCAATGAACTAGGACAACTCAACTAATACATTCCCAGAGAACTGTGGGAAGTGTTCCTTCTTACTTTCAACCAGTATCCACTGAGTGTCTATGGTGTACTAGATACAAAGCGGTTTGTCTTCATTGATAAACAAGAATAGCCCTGCTCCGGCTCATCATGCAACTTGCCTTCCAGAGAGAGCAGTATTGGTCAAGCCACCACACTGATGTCAGAAAGTACACATTTCTATGGGGAGTATGGGACATTCTCTCGCTTGGGGGAGTTCATGAAAGTCCTCCCTAGGGAAGCAACAATTTAGCTCACATCTAAACCCAAGCGAGACATAGCAAGGCAGAAAGTACACATTTCTATGGGGAGTATGGGACATTCTCTCACTTGGGGGAGTTCATAAAAGTCCTCCCTAAGGAAGCAACAATTTAGCTCACATCTAAACCCAAGCGAGACATAGCTAGACAAAGAGGCCATCACAGGGCTTGTCAATCAGAGGGAGATCACATGTAGAAAAAGCTTCCTAGTTTGACATACGGCAGGGAGGCCCGTGTGTATGGAAGATAGATGACAAGGTGTGACATATAGGAGAAGCATTCAAGGGTCAGACATGCTGCGCACTTTCAGCAGCTGTAATGGGCATAAAACGATTATAAAATGTGTTAGACTCTTCCAAATGTTAGTTTCTATTGCTCCCCTTTATCCTATCAAAATACCCAGAATCTAAACTCTGATGACTTAACCTCTATGGGAAAGCCAGTTACATTTCCTCCTATGAATTAGATAGAATTCACATTATCAGGGGAATGCCTTTATTCACTTTGAGTCCACCCTGAAGCCCTAGGCAAATTCTGAGCGTAGGCTTCTCGTCTGGAGAACGCAGTCTCTGCTGCCCCCATCTGGCCAAGTACTGCAGGTGCAGATGTTACAACACAAGGCCCAAACCCAAAATCCTCTTCTGGTGGGTTGGTTGCAACTCACAGCGACCACGTTGGGCAGAGTAAAACCGACTGCCTCGTGGGGTTTCCAGGGCTGTACCATCTTTACGGGGGCGGACGGCCACATCTTTCTTCCGCGAAGCAGCCAACGAGTTTTACCACTTGATTTTCGAAAAGTGTTTCCTTGAATTGGAGGTAGCAAAGTGTTTTAGGCTTATTCCAGAAGAAAAAAAAAAACTCCGAAAATTCGTTATTTTTGGCAAAATCTGTGTTATTTCAAATGTTTCCTTCTCTTGTATTCAAGAAAGCCAGCAAGCGGAGCTAACACTAAACTGATTCCAGAGGTCAAGACCCCCCCCCCCTTCCACTTGGGATCTTTTTTGCCCTCTGGGTGTCTTCGTGGAGCAACGCTGGGGGCTAGAAGCTGTGTCCTGGGAGAAATTTGCATTAATCCCTTTGAAATGGAGCCTGCCGGCCGTGAACGGTACTGCGGGGGTCTGCCGTAGACCCGACGAGTGGGGCGGGCCCCAGAACCCTGCAAAGATATTAAGTGGGGGGACACACTAGGACACAATCCCTAGGACGAACAGGAGCTTCTGTATTTTGCCCCACGCCCCACCCCACCCCCACTCCCACCAGGCAAACTCCTAAAACCCTACATCTGAAACGCAGAGGGGGGACCCATGTGCACTGGGCGGAGGGGGCGGGGGCTGGAACAGGCCCGGGTGCCACCGTCGGGCTCTTTTGTCCCAAGAAGAGCAGAACTCTGCTCGGCTGCCTGTCCTACCCCTTTGCCTACAACCAGGGCCCCCTTGCCCCCTCCCTCGCCAGTCAGATCTCTAGGAATCCCGCCCTCCCATCACACTGCTCCTAGTTCCCACGCTTCATTCAGCACGCCCCGCCCCCATGGGTGTCCGATGAGTCTCACTTGGGTGCATTAGTCTCTAGGGCAGGTATTCCCGGGGACGGTGGGACCAAGTGAGAGTCATCTAAGCTCCGTGCTGTTATGGAGTCGCGCCCAACAAAAAACCACTGACCCACAAGCAGCTGCAAAGTAACAAGGCAAAAGTTTATTAGAGAAGAGCAAAGGTTTACTAGAGAAAAGGAAACAAAAAGCAAATCCGGATTTGGGCTACAGCATGGCCACGCAGGGTCCAAACTGAAGCAAGCGGCAAAAGTTTCTTTGTTCTTTTAAAACCAGTGAGGAGAGGGGGGTGTGAGTAAGGAATGGGGAAGCGTGTCTGCACAAGATAACAAGATGTGGGCAGTTTAGCCTGTCCAGCTTATCTTGGTCCAGGTCCGCTGGTAAAACTTTTAGCTGATATTTACGAGTGGTAGTTTACAGGGTCACAGTAGCTTACTTTTACGACTTATTTTCTCATCTGCTAGAGATAACATAGGTTTATTTCTCATCTGCTAGAGATAACATAGTTTTACTTTTACAACTTATTTTTCTAAAAACAACATTCTCTTCTTAGGGCGGGGGATGACCTTTCGACTCTTCAAAATGGGGTAGCTTAAGTCAAGCTCTTTTATTCTATTGAGCCTTAACACGTGCAAACACCCTGATGAGTTCGCTAGGACCAGGAGCCCTTCCTCCTCCTCCGTGTCCGAATAAGTCTGATTCCCCACCACGCCTGATGGTTTCGGGAACTATGTGCACGGTAATAATAATGCTGGAGACAGCTTTCACTGACAACCGGCGCCGGTCGCTGGCAGTTTTGAATCTAAGAGAAAGGGAGTCATTTTGTAGAAGCTATGCGGGTGCTATTTTTGAGATGCCAAGCAGTCCTTACTAGGGCTACATGGAGCCGTGGTGACGCAGAACCTTTTATTGCACATAGGCTTTCATAAATCAGATGGTAAACAATCCTTGTCACACTGGGCTGGATCTCTGAAACAAAATCGTGACCTAATGTTTCCGCCCGGTCTCGAACCGGGGACCTTTCGCGTGTTAGGCGAACGTGATAACCACTACACTACGGAAACTCCCCGTTACAAAGGAGACTCTTCCTCATCAGGTAAAAGACCAATGTGGCTTGATGTCTGATTGAGAAACACTGCTTTTTCCTCACAGATAATTATTTGATCGTAGTACTTGTCTTTTCCTTCAAATGTCTCCCCTCACTGGAATTAAGCTTATCACAACCTGATGATTTTTACGAGGGGGCTTCCAAAAGTTCGCGGAAAAAATAGAATAGAAATATAAGGGAAAATTTCCACGAACTTTTTGAAGCCCCTCACATTTACCAGCAGAAATATGTTCTCCGACTATATTTCCCATCATGTTCACAGCACCCTGTCCAGGAGAGCCAGAGCTTGGAAATGACCCCCGTGTCCATCAAGGAAGCGTTCCTCGAGAAAAATGACCCCGGATCTGATATTCGAAAAGAAGTGTGATAGTTGTAGAGAGATTGTGGAAAGGAGGATTTTGTCATCGGACTGTTGTGGAGTGCAGGAGTCCAAAGATTTGAATCAGGGAGTAAAAAGAAATTAGATTAAATGGGAATATATAGGTTGGCTGATCAGGAGGGCGATTATTTATTTAGTTAGTTTTCTTTAAAAAAAATTTTAAGGGAAAATTTTTTTAAGGGAGATTATTTATATAGATATATAAATCGTTTTATTGGGGGCTCTTACAGCTCTTATAAAATTGATTAAGACATCAATTGTATCAAGCACATTTGTACATATGTTGGGAAATCATATTTTAAAATATAGCTATATGATAAACAAAATCGGAGAGATTTGGAGATTAATCCTTAATTCTGTCACTGTCTATATCATTCATTGTCTTGGTTGCTTTTACTCACGGTGTGATTTGCATACATAAAAAAGGTTCACATCTTAAATGTACAGCTCAATGCACGGGTAGGGGGGCAGAGAGGGAGTTATCTATTTACAGATTCAATAAGCTCAGCAAACACCAACCAGGAAAAAAAAGAGAGAGAAAACTTAAGCCAAGTCATATTGAATTGATTGAAAACCAATGATAGGTGGAAAAATTCTTAGAAGCAACTGAAGAGAAGAATGTATTACATTCAGTGCAATAGTGATTGTGGAGTACTGTGCACATTAGTGAGGGTGTAGAACATCAAAAGAAATTAAAAAAACAAACTGACTGCCACTGAGTCAATT